AACTGAATCGTATCCGCTGAAGCAGCCAGTGGCAGCTAGTGGACCCTGGAAAGGCAGAAGCGACGGCGGAGCAGATCAGGAAGCGACTACTCTCAGTGCTCCTCACCCTACGGAAGTTCGCCGAACCTGCAGGCCCGTGAGCGCACGTTCTGAGTCGTCGCTACCCAAAGACTCCAATATCCCTTAATTCAGGAATATACCTTATGTCATAATAGGATCCCTAATATGATTTAAGGTATATTCCTTAATTAAGGGATATTGGAGTCTCTTAGTACCTCCCGCCGTGAGATCCGTGAGGCCGTTGTTGAAGTGTCCGAAGACCAACCAGGCAGGTTCCGCGAGACTCGCAAGACGCGGCGCGCCGCTGCTTTCCCAGAGACTCCAATAGCCCCTAACTAAACGAATATACCTTAAATCATACTAGGGATCCTATTATAATTTAAGGTATATTCCTTAAAAAAGGGATATTGGAGTCTCTGGGTTGACAAGGCGATCGAGGAGAGCCTGCCCAGACACGAGTCCGATGATGGGCTCTCCTTCCTGCTTTGGCCTTGTGATGGGATTTCGCTCGTGTCGGTTTACGAATGTATGCAAGTCTCTCTTCTCTCTCTCTCTCTCTTTGTCTCCGTTTCTGAAGGTGAATACATGGACACATGGGTAGATGCGCAGCAAGGATATGGCATGCTGGCTCTGGGGCCCTTAGGTGCAATCTGAAAAGGCTCTGTTGAACCAAGCTGGGGGACATCTGGATCAGGTAGAAGTTGGGTGCCGAGCTGAGGGCACCCCCAAGGCCCCAAGAAAGGGACCCGCTTTTTATGGACATGCCTCCATACCAGCGAACTTGTCGACCTATCTGCCTCTCCCCTTCTCGGCCTGTCTGCCTCTTTATCTACCTCCCTGCATGCGTGCATGCATACGGAGATAAATACATACGTACGACATACATACGTACATACATGCACAAATGCACACAGACATGCATACATACCTCCGTACCTGCGTCCCTGCATCCCTGTATGCATACATGTGCGCGGACGTACACACACACACACACACGTGGGTACCTGCATGCTTGTGCAGACATGTGCTTGGATGCATGCATACCTCTCACTCGTGGTGGCCGTCGTGCCAGGCGTCCTGCGGATCAATTGGAGCATCACAGCCTCGAAAGATGCTGCACTTGGAACGACTACAGGAGGCCACTTCGGAACGGGCTTGAGATTTGGCCGGGCTGTGCAATGTTTTACGGCAGAGGTGCTATAGATTCTACAGATGAACATGCATTTCTTTGACAGAACACGTTCATTATTGAATTGAATTTGGCTGTCATGAGACAGAAACGCGACTCAAACAAAGGACTTCTGAGGGCCCGGCCGAGGAGGAGGCGCGCAAGCATGTTTTCAGCAAATCAGCCCTTGCATAGTTGGCGGGGTCGGGAAGGCCATGCCAGACTCTGTGAAGTCGTAAGTAAATTGGACTTTCCTGCACCATTTGCAGTGTGATGTGGATGTCAAACTAGCCTTGACATGGCACCCTCCGCAGCCGAGGAGAGGCCCTGAGAGCACTTAGTCACCTTTTCGTGCAACCCAGAATGATAATGGACGGCAGAATGAATCCTAAACCCTAAACCCTAATCCTGAGCTTGGAACAGTCTATGAACACTAAGGTCCCAGAGAGGCCTGGAGTCGGCTAGAAACAAAACTTGAGCGGCATGTATCCGAGAACACGTCTTTGAGGGAGTTGCCAAGACTTAAGCAGGGTTTAGGGTTTAAGGGTTTAGGGTTTAGGGTGTTTAGGTATAGCTGTTGCCTCCTTGCCTATCGTAGGCC